CCCCCCCCCCCCCCCCCCTGGTGGCGCCGTCCACGCCGGGACTTGAACCATGTTGAGACTGGGCCACATTTGACTCTTCAGGGAAACCCAACAACCGTTTCCTCCTAATCCATTGAAAATACTTTCTAGGCTATCCAGAGTACTTTTGAATCTCTTAAAATGCATTCTAAGCGGCGCTATAAAATAGGCCATTTCCGAGTTCCCCCAGGCCTCTGTTTCATAACGAGGGTAGGTGCTCAGCGTTTGATATGGAAATCATTTTTCATTCTCATGCAAATAAAACTCTTTTTCACAAGAAAGGTTGTGCATCTAGCCTCATTTTGAAAGTGAGGGTTTTTGGAACTCGGAGTGGCCTTTTTGAATCTGTTCGGTCATCCTAGAGGAACTTGAGTCTTTTCGAGATTTCAAGGGCGCCAGTATTATTTTCCCGAAAATTTTAGATGCAATTTAACGTGTCACGAAAGTGAGGATTTTACTGATTCCTCTCTCCAGCACATTTTTGAATCCGAAAATTTAAGGTTTCATTTTTGTACGAAAAAGAGCCTAACCTCGCCGGGGAGTGAAATATGAAAAATTAAACTTTAAAAAATCGTACTGGAAATTATAAGATAAGCTTCGAAAATTGTACATGAGTGGAACGCTCATCTAGAAATTTTAGCCGTCCTTAATCACAAGAAAATTCTAGGCAACATCTGCTTCCCCGAACAAATATTTTACAGAAAACAGTCGTTGGGTGCCCCTGACTCTTGCTCTTTGAGTTACTGATATTTCGTGTGGTGATTACAAACTCAATTCCGTCTTTTTATTTGTGTATATTTATGTTTTATAGATAAAATTCTTTCTCAAAGCCTTACCCAAGCTGGAATGAGTGTTAACAGGCGTTACACTTGGTTTCTTGCAATCTTGATTGGTTCGTTCTTTGGATATTACATGGTATTCAAGTCACCCTACTCTATTAGTCAAGTACGCGCCCTCGTTCATAATCAAGATCTAACTGCGAACCCTACGGAAAGAGTTGCTACCAACACTGCGGACATTGCCGGTGATGAACGCCTCCCAATCGGCCATTATGTTTCTAGATTTGACTCTGTAATTGGAAAAGAGTTCATTTTTGACAATTCAACTTTAGCTGTGGTGAGAAGTGTTCTTCGGGATCAAACGTTCAAGCGAAAGCCAATCGAGTCCATCGATGCCAAGACGCCTTTTTTCGATCTCCTGGCTCCTGTAACTGCGTGTTCAAGTAACCACTACAGAGAATTCAAACCTCACATCGAAGATTTTAGAAAGAATTTCCCTGGTAAGAAATGTTATTTTTACGATCCTGGATTTAGTGACGAGCAGATCAGTGAAGTTAGAAAGATGCCTGACATTGTGTACAGAAAATTCGACTTTAATGCGTACCCACAACACATTACTAACTTGCGTAATTATGCTTGGAAAGTACTGATAAGTAAAGAAATGCTCTCTGAATTTGACGGAACAATGTGGTTTGATTCATCTGTAAAATTCAATGGAAACCTAACCAATGCTCTAATAGAACTTATGTCCCGCCAAAACACCGGACCAGTGTTTTACCTCAGGACAACCGGCCATTCCATAATAGCAGCTACTCAGCCGGGAGTAGTAGCCTGGAGTACTTACCGATTATAAAAGAAGGCGGAGTTAAGGACATGTTTCAGGGTAGTGCAGTGGTTTACATCAACAAGGATGAAGTACAAAGGCATATAATGAAATGGCTTGTGATTTGCGCCCTCCAATTGGACTGTATCGCACCACCCGGTTCAAAATTATTTTGTGGGTTTAATTTTCCTCGAGACAGGTTTGGGGGTTGTCACAGATATGACCAGTCTCTGCAAAATATACTTGTCTCGAACGCTTATAACCATGAACAAGAGAAATACCATTACTGGAGTGACGATTTTGCCGTTGTGGCCCGGGGGTAATTTTCCTCTCGCCCCAAGTAAGGAAGTCCAAGGCAGTCTTGCATTCTAAATTCCACGCCGTCAATTCCGGATTCCAGGTACTAGATTTCAGTCTTTGATTCTGGATTCCAATCGTTGGATTCCGGATTCCAAAGCCCAGGGGCACGATTCATTCAACTAAAATTTTCGAAAATTTCGGTCCAAAACTCAATGGATCGGTTGGGTCCAATAGGAAAAGTTTCGAAAAAAGGTGGACCAATTTTTCCGGTTGGACCGGTCTGATCGAAAAATGACCGTTCCATTCGACCATTCCAACCCATTCTCATTCCCAGTGCCTCACGGTTCGGTACTTCCTGGGTGTTACCATTTGGCAAAACATGGCGGCTTCAGATTACCGACTACCGGTGCAGAATTTGTGACATTACTGTACCCAGGCTAGAAAATTTGCTATCCGACGAGTGTCAAGCTTTTTCAGGTAAGTTTTTGGTGCATTTATCTGCTGCTGTAGCAAGAAATAAATCATCCAAGTAAGTCAGTCTGTGTTCGCGTCTCGACTGCGACCATTCCCGCCAAAACTAATTCCTACGAAAATGTTGACATTTCAGCCTCCGAGTCTATCGGTTTACTCTTCGAATAATTCGTTTTCTTTAACAATGTCGTCATCATCTTTCACAATATCAATTAGAACGTCGAAATCGTCCTCTAAAAACTCTGACACGCAGCAGAACACCCGCTATTTTCTCTGATTGGGAGAGGAATGGAACGAGACCGGTCCTGGTCGCGATCCATTCGTCCCCACGAAGTTTTCGAACCTTGGCCCGGAAATTTTTGTTGAATTGATCGCGCCCCAGGATTCCGGATTCCACGAGCAGAAATTCCCTTACCTGAGGCGATTATTCGAGACAACTTGCAAAGACTGAGAGATTCCTCATCATTGTATATCACGCTTTTATAAATATCATGGTTATAGTTAAAAACGTTGTAGCAGACGAGCAAGTCTTAAATATAATTAGAAACCAGCATTACTGTGTTGCCCTTACCACGTAAAATTGGTTAAAGTGTTTTAAAGTTGAATATTAATGTTAAACGAGGGAGATGTGGCTTGATACGAAATCACCGTTGTAGAGAACGTTTTATACATTATCCCCTCAAGTAGTTCAAGTCTTGATGTTGAAAAAAAAAGCATTAAATTTTAATTTCAAAAAAGCTATGTATCGTGTTGTCTTTCTGCAGGAAAGTGTCATTTACTTTTTGACCGGTTCCAAAGATCGCACACAATATCATTGTTTCTTCTCGCTTCATCAGGCTATGAAGGTTTGTGAACCCGATATACAAAAAAAGCGATGATCCTTCCATTGACCATGGGTTCGTCCTTGCCTCGTACCCAGTCGCCTCTCTCTCTCTCTCTCTCTCTCTCTCGATGAAAAAATTGCGCACAAAGGAAGTCGGGAAGGAGAAACTTCTTATCTTTCTCCCTCTCATGAACCCTTGCGCTTCGTCGCCTGTCACTCGCGTTTCGCGCTCACCTCTGTGCGAAAATCGACGCGCCTAAGGAGGAGGCTGGGATACGTCCATTGTTTCAATTATGATTGTATGAAAGACAAAACTCTGACAACGAAAATCACAAGGCAAAAAAGTGTGACTTGGTAGATTTATTTCAAGTGTCGCTGCATGATGTCTAGCTGCAGGAGGAATGTACATAGCTTGTTGGAGATCTCTGGATACAGTAACTAAATATTTACAACTTATTTACATCTTTAGTGTATAAATGGTTAGAAACGTATGCCTCGTTTCTGTTCTGGGCATAATTTATCTGTCCGGCAGGACTGAAGCTCGTGAATATAATACCCTTGTTCAAGTACTGGTTACTTCAATTTTCATTTTCAGCGGGGTTCTCCCTCGTCTGCAGCATTGTTTGCGCCTATAAAATACAAAGGTTGAAAGTCAGGTCTAGCCGTACCCAGGTCACCAACAATTCCCAATGCCCCAGCCGAAGAAGGTCCTTAGAACTAGTGCCAGTACTACTCTTCCGGGAGTTTTTGTACTCGGGACTACTTAATTAAGCTGAATAGAGACAATTTCTTTTTTAAAGAGCAGTTTAAGGCCTCACTATCAAAAAAGGCAGTCAAAGGATAGAATTCAAGAACAGCTTTATATTTTTAATTATGCTGCTGAAGGACAACATGAACAGATTATTGAATACAGAGTGTGCGGGACTCGAAACCAGACATACGGACTGCGAGTCCGATACACTTTATACCACTCAACCAAATAAATAAATGAAGTCATAACTTACTTTGATTTGGCGTGACCGGGGCCTCACCAGGAACAGAACTGCAAGAAATTTAATAGTATAATAAGAGAACTCTTAGGGCCAAATATTTAAACAAAGTCTAACTTAAACCGCGGTTTAACGAATCTTTGAACCTCCAGATCTCTTCTTTGGGGGTTGTTTTAAGAAGATATATGCTTTTCTAGTCTTCTCTACAGCGTATATGCTTTCATAGAACTGATCACAGTAAATGATGTTTAGATCAAATCGGCGGACGGATCAGATATCTCTTTTCATCCGAAGCTTTTATACAATTTTGTTCTTCGGGAAAGAGTCGAATTGATAACTTCACATTTCTTTGCAAGCCATCAAAATTCCCGATTCAAGTAACTAATATTTATTCTCGCAAATGCTAGTCTCAATGGACAAGCTTTAGTCACATCTTGAGATAAAATTAAAACCTACTTTTCGAGATGCGTTAGTTCGCGCTTTAGATCTCTTGAGATCTTGACATGGCATTTTTTGGGCTTACCTTAGTATCACTAGAAAACTATGAGGGGCGGAAGAAGAAAATAATATTCGTGCAAGGGAAAAAAGGAAAATAAAATGAAAATCATCATGCGCAAATGGACCTTTGAGATAAGCTAGTCCAATATTTTGTTTCTGGTGATGCGCGATGGTGTGCGTGTCAGTTTTACAAGCACTAATTTTAAAAGACGAGGAGAAAGATTTTACCTAAAGATTACTTACTATGGGTTCAAATATTTTCTAAAAGAAAAATATCACGATCTTCCCTCTCTTCTCTTGCCTCGCTGATGGCCTCTTTCAAGCACGCAGCTCGTTGTTTAGAAGTCTTTCCCATTTCTTCTTACCACGAAGCAGTTTCAGCTTCACCCCACTATTATAACAGTTGCAATCCTTCTCAGTTCTTCTTAGCTTTATCGAGGTCATTTCCAGGATATTTCTCAGTTTTATAAAAGTTTGCAAACGTTATTGATATCTTGATTTCCTTCCCTTCCTCCTTTATCGTTGTCGGGTAATTTACAATTTTTTGCGCACATTCGGCTCCATTTTCGTCATTGGCCAGGTTACAAGGAGAGAAGTTCTGGGTCAGTTTAACGTCGATTTTACGTGCAGTGCTGCTTATGCCCTGGAGTAGCTGACGAAGCTTCTTCTCCGCGTGGTTTGGGTGTTCGTCGTTTCTGTGAATACCAAACAAGGTCCAGCGATCATTATCAGAACTTTCACACGAAGTTCCCCTCAGAACTACGACTGCTCCACGCGACGTGTAACAAAACTAACACAGCTAGCGTTCAAATCACTTTACTAAACTAGCATAACAGTTACACGAGTCGTAGGTCTCCTAAACTGCGCATGTCCGACCCAACTCGGGCTCAGGCCCCACGCTACACTACCCCCTCCCACATAAGGTCCGAAGTACAAGAGAGAATTTTTAACTTAAGCATGCAAATGTTCCTACAAAGTTCAAGGGCCAGGTTGAGTAAACAACAACTGTTCTAACATAGTCTCGTAGCCAGACAGGCTCCCTTCGCTCACGTCTCGGCCTCGCAGCACGACACAGTTCACGACGCAGCTCATCACTCACTTGAGAAACCTCAGATTGACACAGCAGGTCAGCAGTTCGAGGGGATGTACTTAATGTACCACTAGATTCACCACTAGATTCATGCTCCTGGAAGGAATGAGAAACCTCTGTGACTGTAGCAACTAGATTTTCCAGCCATTCCAATTCAACATCTCCAGAGTCAACTAAGGTTCCTCGAGAAGGTTGCTGCCCGTCTCTCAGGTTCTCCGTTTGTGGCGTATCTTCCGCATAGCTGGAAGAGGTTAACTGTGAGGGCTTCTCGTGGATTTCAGGTGGCGAAAAGCATGGCTTCAGATAATTGAAGTGGACCACCTTCCTCTGACGACGTTTTTCCGGCTTCCGCCTCTCCTCTTCAATGCGATAGGTAACATCAGATAGAGCTTTCACCACCTTCCAAGGACCACACCAGGGTTTGAGGAATTTCTTCCTTCTCGTCCTGGTTCTGTTTCTATACCAAACCCGGTCTCCTACACGGAACCGCTGACCATGGCACTTGGTGTCATAATAAGCTTTCTGGGACCTCTGCGCTCGCTTGAGGTTCTCTCTCAGTATCTGCTCCGTCTCTTCCAATTGCTGCTTCTGCTCAACAACATAATCGGGGTATGTCTGTGCCGACCCTTGGGAAGGTGTTGTCTCGAGCCTAAGGAGAGCATCCAATGACAGAATAGCTTCCCTGCCGAACATTAAGCGGTAAGGGGTAAATCCCGTCGACTCATGCACACTAGTGTTGTAAGCAAGAACTGCTTTCGGCACAAAGTCCGCCCAGTCCCGGCGATGGTCAGAAATCAGCTTACTAAGGATCTTCACCAGAGATTTGTTCAGTCTCTCTACCTGCCCATCCCCTTGGGAA